GAAAACATATATGCAACCAAGTGTATGCCTCATAATTTTATTTATTTATTTAAACTTTATTGTACAATACACTGAAGTACAAGTGGCGGACTTAATGCCATAAGGCATTCTCTACCAGTCAACCATTGGGCCAAACAGAAAAAAAAAACACAATAGGTTGGTGCTACACTTAAACAAGAACAATATACTAGAAAACTAATCGATAATTTGTATGGTATAAATAAATAACATACTATAAACATACTTATTATACATACATAATAAACTTACATATATATATTATAATAAAAAATAATATAATATATGTACCCAAAGCAACATTATACAGTGTCTTAATTTAATAATAATAATAATTTGTAATACATTGCGGCTTTTGCTTGGTGCGATCGAGATTTTATTAATAAGACTCAGTCGTTATACTAAAAGCCTCAAAAGACACAAACGACTTGAAAGACTTAAACGACTCGACTTTGTTTGCAAAAGATTATGTCTTATTAAACCCGAAGTTTACAAATAAAACGTAAGTAGTATGTAGTAAATAATCACGTTTATTTACTTATACTAAAAATCGTAAAATAAATACCTTGTAGATAGAAATTAAATCACGCCACGACTCCCGAGGCTATGAGGCGCCAGAAGTTTTAGTCGTTTTAGTTCTATAAGCCTTTTAAGCTTCCTAGGGTTAAAAGACGTCGACTCGAATTAGTCTTCAGTTTTAGTCTTATGACTCAAGAATTGAGGGTGAAAAGATTAGACTAGTCGTGAGACGTTAAAAATTAGTCGAGGTTTTTTAAAAGGCCTTAAAATTGACTGAGGGTCGTATTCTAGAACTCTACTCAATGCTCAAGTCAGGACTTGAGTATGATCAAAGCACTAGAAGTCATACTCAAGTCCTTGCCATTAGAGACGTATTTCCAGTGTTTGAAATTATACTCAGATCCTGACTTGAGCGTTGAGTAGAGTTCTGGAATACGACCCTAAGTCTCCTTCATCACTGATATATATATCAATCGATTTAGAGCGGAAGGAGGTTTCCCATGACTAAACAGTTCTTGTGACGTCATAGTACCATATGCATTACACATACCATAGCAATTGTCTTTTTTAAACTGTTTTTTTTTACCTCTTGGTTATACTGTATTTACCTAATAGCCAGTGAGTGGAGGAACACTTAATTCCAAAATACAAGCTTTTGCTTAGTTTGGGATTCGGTAGTTTAAACATTTTATATAAGTAGCACGTACGTACAATCAGTGAAATAAGTTTATTTTTTATGTAAAATACCCATTGTATTTAATTTTGATGTATGTGTATATGAATTAAATAATTGTTATTAATACTAAAGGGGGTACAAAAAATGTGGCACGCTTGGTTTTCATAAAAATTGCTGTACTTGCGGCGTCTATCTAAATCTGTGGGTTGAACCTATTGACTGTTTGATCATAACAATAAACTATATACTAACCAATAGGGCTGCCTAATGCGTACAAAGAAACTGGTGAGAAATCCAACTTCGGGTACAGGATGTTCGTCAGTCCGGTGTTCATTGCGCCAGTAATGAACGATTTAGTGCTCGCCGTTGACGGCGGATTCTGCAAAGGTACATTTAAGAAAAATAAAGCGCCAGACCAACACAGCAATTAACTGACTGAAATTTAATCTATGGACAAGAAAATTCATAGCAAATACATAGTTCAAACAAAACACAATCGATTGGACATAGTTATGAAAACAAGAACCAACCCGCACCTCGAGTGAAATTGAGTTATGTATTTAAGTAGAACACCAAACGTGTCCTTTACCCGCTCACAAAAGATCCTATCAATAGAATAGAATCGAATCGAATAGAATAGAATCGTTTATTTCATGTTATCAATGTCACAATATTACAATTGGAAATACAATGTCAAGGGACAACTATGATCGTCAGTAATAAAATTATAATAATAATAATGAATATAAAATAAGTAGTATAACTACTGCTTGTCGAATAAAATAAAATTAGAATTATTTCAAAAGAAACTCATCGACACTGTACAATTCAATATCCAATAAAAGGATTTTTAGTCGGGTACAAAACGTTTCATCGTTTCTAACACTTTTCAGGTCTGTGGGTAGATGTTCGTAGAATAGGGGACCTATTACCCGCGGATTTCTAGTTGCAAGTTCGGTACGGTGGGCAACGGATTTTAGTGTTCCCGCGTTTCGTAACGCTCGGCCTCCGCCCGTACGTCGCTCATAAGTAGCCAATATACCAATATATATAATATACCAAGCCAAAACGGAGAAAACAAAAGTCCTTCAGGGTAGCAACCCTAAATAAGTAACTATTTAATAGCTAAAAAGAACAATGCTGTTTAACTTCATATAATGTATTTTTTTAAATATGCTAAATAAATCCATGTCTCATGTACTGAAATACTGTAGATCTTTAGCGTTTTCATTACGAAAACTAGAACATGGTTCTCGTTAACTAAATAAGAAGATACATAATGTTTTCTATTTATTGCTATATAATATAATAGTTTCCCTATATAATTCTTAATGCTACACATAACTAACGTTGTTTGTCTCAAATAACTTACCTATTTATTTCTTCACACTGGTTTTACAAAAGTCTAATTATCTCGAAAGTGACATTTTGTGGGTTAGTTCTAGTTTGCATAACTATGTCCAATTGTGACTAACACTTTTTTGTTTTTGGTTCTATTTTAGTGTCGAATTTTATCAAAGAGTATCTGTACCGCAGTACCGTGGACAGACGCGACAGTCTATTCCAACGAGTATTTAACCAGAAATAGAGACAAAATGTTATTTAATTTATTTGAAAACTATTCTGCCAAATCATTAGTGTAATAGCTACACTCCGATTGGAGAGCCTGAATTCGAAACAATGGACGAGTGTCGTCAATTGTTTCACTTCAATAGACCAGTTTAACTTGAGCTTTGCTATAATGGACGAAAATTGCAAAATTACATATTTAATGATGTTGGTATGATAACTTTACCACCTCAGTCAAAGGGACCTGTAAAGGGGCCGAAACGTTGGTTTATTTGAAAAAACAAATATACGCGATTTAAATCCGGAAAAATAGTTTAATTTCCGTGTAACAATCGCGAAAATCTAAGAACTCGATAATTCCACTAGTTTAACACAAAGATGAAATACATCGAAAAATTTCTTCATTCCGGACTTGAACCCACGATCATGCTGCACCGTAGCAATGCTCTTACCAACTGAGCCACAGGTAAAGTTACCGAGCTGTCGAAATTCTCATGTGTTTTTGTTATAGATCTTTAAATTAACATCTAGTGAGACATTTTTTATTGGTTTTTCTATGTCCTTTCAATAAAAAATGTTCACCACACCTATTTTATTAATGTCGCTGGCGGCTGGTAAATAGGAAACATACATTTTACAGCTGACGGTACAAGTCTGTAACTCACATTGGAATGTTTAGGAAGAGGTTCCACAGGCACCTGGTTGCACAGCAGGTCGTACAGAATGACACTGCCCAGGGAATGGCCGCCGAGGGAAATCCCACCACGGAAATCCGGGTTCCGTGAACAGAACAATCGGTAGATGCGGTTCAGTTCTGTACAAACGGTGTTTATTATCGTCTGTGGACAAAATTTTGGTAAATTACAACTTACAACATTTATTAACTTCATACAAACAAGGCATACAATAAATATAATACAATTTCCCACCAAAGTGCGAAAGCAGTTTGTTGGCGAGGTTACGTTCACAATCACAAAACTGTAGTATACCTGAAGTACCGGCACTATCGAGTATATAACCAGAAATAGAGACGAAATGTCATTTAATTTATTTGAACACTATTCTGGCAAATCATTACGGTGACAACTGCGCTCCGATTGGCCAGCCCGAATTCGAAACAACTGACCGGTGTCGTCAATTGTTTCACTTCAAATCGACTAGTTAAACTTGAGCTTTGCTATAATGGGCGCGAATTGCAAAATTACATATTTAATTATTCAATAATTATTTATTAACCATTACCACCGAATGGAACCATATCAAAATAAACGAACAATTGACGATCGTAGGAAGGAACATATCCGAGCAGTAAAAAACAATGATGCATAGAAGTCGGTTATAGCACAACATTTCACACAGACTGAAACCACTCGATCGAGTTGCATAGCCACCCCACCACATATCACGGTTGGTACGAGAAGCCATCGAGATCACGAAGTACAAAACATTTAACCGTGATCATGGTTTTAAACTATCCAGTGCATGGAATCCGGTCCTTAGTGTGTGCAGTAATAAAAACAAAAACCCTTGAATTCAGTTTCGCGTGTGGATACAGTGAGTGTGGTTTGCGTAAAAAAAGTGAGTGACAATGGTAACAACAGTAATAATATAAGTAAATGGTAACAAATGGTAAGTGGCCACAACAAATCGCGGTGAAGGTAGTCGTCGACAGCGCAAGAGGGTAGACAGTTACAGACTCTAAAGCTGTCATCTGCCGCCGCCCAGTCAACCCGTGACTATGGAGCGTGCAACTGTTCCGAAATATCGGGAAAATAAAAAGAAGTCATACCGTGGTAAGAAGCCTGAAAATAGTGATAATCATTTGCTGCGGCCTTTAACTTGGACGTTTTCAAATAGCGCAAACATTCAACATAGCCCCGCACTAGGGAGACCCTGTATCTCGGATGCCATGGACACACACACATAGACAACCACAAATTACACCCAGTCATATTAAATATTTCTCCCGACCCGGGAATCGAACCTGGGACCTCTGCATGGCAGTCCGGCATCGTAACCGTTCGGCCATAAAGGCAGTTATTTAGGCGGGAATAGGAATTATTTAAGTGCATGCTACATCTGTAATGCGCACGTTTTTTGTATAAAAAACTTTTGTACTGATTACTTACCTGACAGTAAACAGGGCTTGTATAAAACAATACATCTAAGACGGTGTCGTTGGTGAAAGCCCGAAGACGCGGGATAGAATCCAACGTGATGCGGTCAAGGCGGCGGTCCACGCCGGTCTCGCCGCTGTGCAGTGTAGTATGCCAGGATATTGGTAATACCTGCAAAGTAGAATAGGTAGAAACAAAGAACAATAAATACAGTAGAAGTGGTTAGTTAGCTTCCGACGCGTGCCAGCTGCAACTCGAAAGACCTATCTGAGCTCAGTCCGTAATATTCGCCTTGTATGGAATGTTTGTGTCATTCTTTCGTGCAAATTCTCTAAAATTCTATAAAAATGCCATATTTTGCTGTTTTGAAGTACAAAAATGATACCCGCACCAAAAATATTACTCGACATTTCATATCATCAGAAAGCCTTATTTTAATAAATTTTCAAAATAATTTTTATGTTACAAGAAACGAATGTAAAGCTAATACCCATGCAATATGGTCACTTCTTTTTTGGAGAACTAAATTAATAAACTTCAATTCGACGTCGTTCAGCAATTAACTGCTAGATGGCAGCACATTGATTGAAATTTCAATATAATATCAAAACGTCGTAACTTGCACTAATGGGTATTGATGGTATTGAATTTTCAACGATATGATAAAACCACAGAGTAAAGTTTAAATTATATTACCAATCCAGAATTTGTTATTTCTTTTTAAATTTGAAACTAAGACCAATCAATATCAAGATTTTGCAGTGTTTCAAATTGAGAATGTGTAAGTTTTGGCGACATCGGTTCTCATAGGAATCGAGGCTTAAGGCATTTGCGTTGTTCTTTTTTCTTCCGTGTGTCAGAAACTAGTGTTGTAACGAATACCTATTCGGTCTCTAGCAGAAAAGCCGAAAATTCGATCAAACTTAACAAGATTAACGCATATACGAAAATTATACAAAAAAAGGTTTGTTTTTAACCGACTTTGCGTGTATGTTACGCGTGTATTCTGACATTTGTCAACCGATTTCGATGATTCTTGTTTTGTTACAAAGGGGCTATCTCAGTAGCGCTCCTATATAAATTTCAAGAAAATATTCCACCTCTAATGGTGTTAAATTAGGGGATGAATCCGGTTTATTAGATTTCTCTCACTTCCCGATAACTGATATCAATAAAATTTGGCAAATAAATGTAATTCCATAAAGTTTTAAAGCCGGCTTTTTTATATAAAAGTTATGTAATAGATTATTATTTTATATGATACCAACGGACGGGACGAAGAAGATGAGCGCCTGCTGGTAAGCGACACGCCTGTCCATAGCAGGTGCAGTGCCACTATGAGCTTTAAATCGAAAAGATCTGAGAGGCATTAACACTGCGTCCGGCACCCTGAGACATAACATGACAAGTCCCATGTGCCTGTAATTTGGGAAAAAACCGCTTTAATCCGGTTATTTGTGTAGTGGTGCGTGTTGTGTTTTGTGGGTCCATTAGCAGGATGATAACTTGAAACATAATCAAATCTAAATCTATATAAGACACTTACCTCAACTCTCCCCACGGAGCCGTTATCAAAAGAGCTTTTATAATGAGCTTGAATGAGCTGCAGGCTGGCTGATCTGAAGTCATCCACTGTACGAGAAATATTTATAAATAATAAATAAATACTATAGTCCGTCTTTTTTGAAGATGGAGTAAAATGACATTTGTAGGGTTGCCAGAATTCATAAAATTTGAAATAGTTATGTAGTTGTTGTCAATAGTTTTATCGATAGATTGTGAAAGAAGTCAAAATTTAGTCAAAAATTACTGAATTTTGAATGTTACGTCGTTCTAATTGAGTACTAATTGCGATATTGCCTTATCGAGATCAAGTTTTATTCATATACATTTGAACAAGAATATCCGAATTATATTATCTATATTGAATTAAAATTAAAAACTTGAAAATATGTCTTCTCTTTCTATTTTTCATAAACAGTACTAAATACAGTATATGTAAATAAGAAGTTACAAAAATTAACAATTTAATTGAACTTGTGCTCAATAACTGGATGAATAATGGGTCGAGGATGAATCAAATGAAACAAGTTCGGCTATTTATTCCATAAGCGTGACCAACATTCAATCGATAGTCGATATTTATCGACTGCAGTCACTAGCCGCTCGCAAGCGGGCAACACTTTTGACAATGAACTGTCATTTTACTCCATCTCCAAAAAAAACACGTGCCCTCAACGTCATACGAAATCGATTTGTTCTCGGAATGAATTCACACTGACCGCTTATTGTAAAATATCATTTGGTGCTATATATTAAATGAGTTTGTTTATTGTTGACATGTTTGTAACTAGCAAGTAACCACACTATTGTATTAACTGCCTCCGTGACCGATGAGTTACCATTCTGGACTGCCACGTGGAGGTCCCGGGTTCGATTAGCGGGCCAGGAGAAATATTTGTATGGTCTACATTTATTTCTATTTCTAATGTCTCTCGTGCGGGGCTATGAGTGTATTTATTTTATTTACTGGGAAATACACATGTAATAACAGTTGTAAAAGGTTAATAATAACATGTTGCTTTACTATCGCATTAGGCTAATGTAATGACAGTAATATGAAACGAAACTATTTTTTTGGATTTACGTTGAATATACGTTTAAATATGCGTTACAAAAAGGTGTAATTTTGTTATTATTCAAAAACTGATTGAAGGATACAAAACCTAGTAGACTGCATGATTATATAATTGATAAATATTTCCTAGTTTTCAAAGCTTCTTTTATTGTTAATTCACAAATTTAACTGACAATGTCAACACATAAAAACAAAGCATTAGCAATTCCCACGTCAATCAAAAAAATATAAAAAAATAATTAAAAATGCAAAAAAATTTGCAACACTGACGACTTTCCGTGAACTATTTACCCCGTATTAAGTTTATTTTGTTTTCTAAATATAACTACGTTTTTTTTTCTATCGAGGAAACTACAAGTAATCGTGTTTCTGTAGAGTATGATTTATAGAGTGAATCCTTAAATATGTTATACATTAATTTCATAACTAAAGCTTTTGTAATAACGACACAGCAAGGGATCCAACGAACGCAATTATTTCAAAATTACGTATCGCTGCTTCGGCGCAGTCTTAAACATACCCTAATACCATAAAAAATAAGAGCAAGTACTTTTCTTGAATCGTAGGGTTGTCACGTCACCATTTTAGTTATCATGTTTTGTTTTGTACCCATCGAGTATATAACCAGAAATAAAGGACGAAATAAGGGCCATCCATCCCTGGCAACTCTTCACGCAAATGGGTCTTATATCACTTTTAAATATCAACTCTCGTTTGCGCTGAAATCACAAATTAGAAAGCTGAAATAGTACAGCGCCAACAACTGACCTGTGTGTACGTCTCTGTCTATTCCAAAAATATTCTGTATTTATTGTAATAAAGATAATATCTCTAACTATGATAACTGGAAGAGCCCCCCATTCGGTGGTGTGGCAAAACATCTAATTTCAAAACAAACGGAATCACATTTCATCGGTAATGAAATATTAAATAATATGTAATTTTGCAATTTTCGTCCATTATAACAAACCTCAAGTTAACTGGTCGATTTGAAGTGAAACATTGACGGGTGTCGTCAATGTCAATGTCGTCTCTAATTCGGGTTGGCCAATCGGAGCGCAGTTGTCACAGTAATGATTTGGCAGATTAGTTTTCAAACAAATTATATGACATTTCGTCTCTATTTGTGGTTATATATATGTATACTCGAAGGTTTATACCAAAGACTGAAAACTTAATTTGAAAAAAATATAGTATTCAAACAGTGTTTTCGTGCTATATGTTGAAATAAAAAGATAAATATAATAATAATAATAATATAATTATTTATAGCTGCTATATCTCGTAGTTGCGACTTGTCCATACTGCGACATTTGACCACAGATATTATTAATAAGTAATCGTATTTATTATATATAAATTTTAATTTTTAAGTTTTTATTGAATGTCACGATGTTTCCACTATGATATTCAATTATTTTTGTGAAATTACTCCACCAGTTTGTTATAACTGTTAATGCAAAGATGCTGGATTCGAACCAGAGTTTTCTAGCTAACAGTGTTACATGCTATGCCAACTAATCCATGAAAGGAACTAGCGGACCTTACGAATTTTTCTATGTGCTTGTTGCAGATGCTCTTGGTTTTTAACGACTTCACACAAAAATTCACATTATAGCTACGTGAAATTAGTAGGTTTTCACACGGACTTTACTG